CGTCTAGCAAAAATCGGTTTGTGAAGCAGGGCTGAAACACTGTAGAGAAATTTCCCCATAGGAATCACTGTTTTGCGAATCGCTATAGCGATCACAAAAAGCCAATGTCTAGCAAAAAACTGTCACGTGGGGTAACTGTCTAGCGAGGCACCACTGTATCTTGAATTAACAGTGATGCAATGGAGTTTAAAACACATTCTTTGCGTGAAAATGCTTTAAGACTTACTGTGCCAAAAGGGGAAGGCGAAAAAAAAAAATAGAATGACAATATGTTTAAAATAAGGGGACATACGTCCAGCCACCGTGGGACCAGCAACATAACAAAAGGCAAGCTCAGGCAACAAGCATAGTAATTCTCAAGATAGCTTAAGAGAGGACAAGCTGGCTTAAAACCAAACCCTTTGACGTCATGGAGTTATGTGTGAAGCTGTAAACAGAGCATCAGAACACATGGAAAGAACCGTATTCCTATCCTGAATCAATTGATTTAAGGAGACTTTACTAGCATTTCAATTTTTTGCAGGCTGCAAACAATGTAGAACTTCACCAGGGAAGGGGCTGGGGGGGTGAATTTTCAAGCTTTGAGGCTGGTACAGATTGCATACAGTTGTGCTAACAAACAAAAAAAACCACACACAGGCATGTTGAAAAAAGGATATCGTGGTGTTTTATTGGGGGAGACTGAGTTTTTCAAATCTGAGAAACAGACACCATGTCCAATGGAACAAGCCAACAAGTTAAAACATTAAAAAAAAAATTAAACAGGCCCACGGACTGGGCTGTGTTGGCAACTCAACTATGATCAAACAGACTCTTTCATATCTTTCTGACAGAGTATACATTTCCTGTCCCTGCTCCCCACGTCCAAACATTGTTCAGTGGGAGGTGTTCTCCTCAAACCAACGCAAAGTCTAAACAAGAATCGGCTGCCAGAAAAAAATCTGGAAACAGTTGGGGGTGACATTTATTTGGGGGAGAAACATGTGTTCTCATAACGAGCGCATGGAGCCAAAGCACCAGGAAAAGATGTTTTAATAATTAAGCATCAAGTGATGCAATATGGGGCTGAAGTCAACAGCGTGGTTCCTGCGCAAGTCTGAACAGGTCTCCTGCAAAGTTCCCGTTTGTGTCAATGAAGCTCGCTCAGAACATCTTCCTGGATTGTATCTTATCCTTGGTCTTCATGCTGATGAAGGCCACGAAATTTCTCCCCGCCATCTTCTTTCACTCCCGATTCCAAAAGATTAACTCCAGAGGATTTTACAACCTAAACTGCTCCTTACTCACACCTTTCTTTAAAAAAAAATCTGAACTTAGTCCAGAAATGGATTCAAACAGCACGAATACCCTTCGGTTTATTGTCAAAAATGGAAAGAAAGACGGTAGTATAAAATGTCTCAACAAATTTAAATATTAGTTATAGACTGACAGACGGATACAATATTCAAAAAGACTTAATACAAAAGAGAGACCAGCTGTTCAAACAAGAAGGTAATACTTTGACATGAGGACAGAAATGCTAGGGGGGGGGACCCCTATATTATTTGCAGCCCCATCGAGATTACTGCAAAAGTGTCCATGCAGGTTTGGGAGAGCCATCCTTTTTGTTTCTTGACAACCACAAAAGACTGAAGTCTGGACACATTGATTCTTCATGGCACAGCTCTGACCTTGGTGAATTTACAAGATGGGGGCATCGTCGGCAGGATGGAAAGTTCCCATGATACAACAAAGGGTCCATTGGCCAAGTTTTTTAAAAAAAGAATGGGCACCAGTTAGAGGGACTACGAGATGCTCCAATGGTCTGACCTGATATTTATAAGACAGCTTTGGAATATATACCAAGATAGGGATCAGCGGGACTGTGAAACACACGAACTGACTTGACGAAAATTTATTTTGGAGCTTGGGAAATGTGGTTTACGGATTACAACATCCAGCATCCCCGTGGCATTTTTCAGGGATCATTCTGAGAGTTCAACCTTTTTTTTTTTAAGAGTACTTTTTCCAAAACACTGGATTTATTAGAAAGATTTTGCCCTGGAAACCCTTACCCTCAAATCACCTGAGTCAATTTTACAGGATACAGATTAATTAACGGTCCAATTAGGTTTACCTGAGAATACAACCTGAAAAAATGCAATTAATCTGAGGGTGAGTTCTTAAGACTTTTTGGAAGCAAATGAAACTTGTGGATTGGCTGACGGGCAAAGGGATGCAATCCAAAGGAGAATAATTCCAACCTATAGGAATGATCTGTAAAATATACGGCCCGTTTAAAGACATTTCCTTCTCTTTTCCATGATCGTACCCAAGACTTTTAACAGTACTGACCTCTTGTTTAGCTTTGCCAGAACAGTGGGACTGACAACACTAACAGGAACAGATTGGTGCTAACTGGGAAGTTCTTATTTTGGGTTGTGCCCAACTCACGCACAATGAGATGAAGTTGCATGCAAGTGGATGCAGGGTCACTTCAAGTTAGCAGCACTCTGCTGCTACCAGCTGGATTCATGTAGCTACATAACAGGTTTTTCTGGCCACAGACTGGGAGACTAGAATTCCCATACCAGATGGATTCATGTAGCTACATAACAGTTTTTTGGCCACAGACTGGGAGACTAGAATTCCCAGAACACACCCAAGCCAGCTGGGGGATCTTGACTTTAAATCCAGAAGGCACCGTATTTTTCCATGTATAAGACTATACTTTTGTCTAATATCTTTAGATTAAAATTGAGGGTCGTCTTATACGCGGAAGTGAGCTGAGGAGAGAACAAAAACAAGTGGAGGGGAAAGCAGGGATCAAAGCGATCCTGTAGTGCTTTGATCCCTTTCCCCCTACACTTGCTAAGCCCCACTTAGATTTCTTAATTTTGGATTAGAAAAGGGGGGAGTCTTATACATGGGGGCGTCTTTTACACGGAAAAATATAGTAATTTTTCCTTGGTTTGTTGGAAACCCCTCTCTTACTACCACACTACTTTGCTAGTCTTTCACCTGGATGCATAACATCCTTTTCTGGTGGCCTCAAAACCCACTAGGGTCTTTGGTTTGTTGGAAACTCCTCTCTTACTACCTCTTTGCTAGTCTTTCACCTGGACGCGTAACATACTTTTCTGGTGGCCTCAAAACCCACTAGGGTTAGCCTTCCAATGTCTGATGTAATCCATCGAAATAAGTTTTTAAGGGTGGCCCGCTTTCTCCCAATCACTCTCCCTGGAGGCATCCTATGCCAATATGATGTACGAAATGTTTACTATGCATTTGTTTGGGCTGTAGGTGTTGCACCTCACACATGTGCCTACTTGAAATTCAGATGCCACTTCAGATCCACAGATTTCAGTTGGTCTTCTGCTGATGGGCAATACCTATTTTGAGATACAATCCCTCTTCGCACCGCATATG